GGGGGGGGGGCCGGACGGTGCGATGAGCCGCAGAAAAACTTTACACGGCTGTCCTCTGACCACAAGGACACCAGGGACAGCAGGCGCTCCCGGCTGCCAATCACAGCTCGGGAGTTTCTTTTCTCTTTTTCTTCGACTATTCGTCCCCTACGAAAGACGAAAGGGGGCATCGCGGCAACTGAGGTAATATTTTACAAGATGCGTTCACTGTGGACTTTTGGGTCGGGCGACGTTTGAGTCTGCCTTTACAAAGATTCGATGAGGAGACCGTCGCCTTCCCTGAAGGCCGACGAGCGAGAGGAGTGCCTTGGTGGAGGGGGGGTCCGCTGGATTTCAGGATTGTTCAGGAAAAGATTGCCTTAAGTAGAAAAAAAAAAAAGATTTCTCTCGCCCGAGGAAGCGAGGGAAGGAGACGGGACGGAGAGTTCCCGGGCAAACAATCTTTCAGCATGTTTACTTGGAAACGTGACGACGACGACGTTTACGTCTCTCACGGCCTCTCTTGAAGAGTTACTTTACTTTTGGATGGATCTATTTTTCTGTAAGAAAGGAAAGCGCTTTGTTCAAAGGTAGTTGCCGGCTTCGGTGGAAAACGGTGCAAACGTGGAGACCTTCAAAAACGAGGAAATGGGATGGGACTGTCCAAAAGGTTTGAGCCTTTGATGTAGCTTCCCTTTAACTGAAGTCATTGCTTTGTGAACACATGAAGCATGCATTTGAGCGGAGAGAATTTTTTTGAATGTTATCCAAAAGAGAAAAGCCAAGCAAGAAAAGCCAAAGCATGAGTTTGCATTTTACCGTAATACTTTCACTCCACTTAGCCGGCAAAGTCCGCAGACATTTCTCGTATTGGCCCTTTCACAAAAGGCTCCCGGTACCCAGTTCAATGTTTACTGATTTCATCCTCGCACGTCGAGGGAGCATTTTCCGGACGCGTGCCGATCGGCCTCCCCGTGCGTCCGCCGGTTGGCAGCTACCTTGGTGGCTAGTGTGAGCTCCACACTAGCCATGTATATTGAATTGAATATATTTTGAGGGGCAGTAGTCTCGAGTATTGCCCGTTTGTATCTACATGTATGATTTCCACATCAAGTTGTCGATTTACAATATCAGAACATGTGTTTGGTCAGCGTGTCCACGGTTTATTTTGTATTGTGTAAGATTATTTTTCTAACTTTTTTTCATCCATAGATTTTGTTGTGTGTTTTTATCCGTTTTCTGGATAGTTATAGGGCTGCCATTCACCAACTTAGTACTACTGTCACTTCTTCAAAACTTTCTTTCTTTCTTGTATTTATCAGAAATAAGGAGCAACTCTTTCTTTCTTTCTTTCTACGGTTCTCTCGGCCTTTCCGCATTTTCATCAATTGTGTATTTATAACATGTATTGTTTATAGAAGATTTGTATATGGAAAATTTATAAATGTACTCTAACTAATGACAGCTATGCTATTGTGAGCGAGAAACAGTACGGTGTGCGGTATTACTCCGTGAACGTAAAGGAAAAAGAAAAAGCAGCGTATTTAAACTCGGCATCGACTTGTTTTCAAGTCGCCCCTCAAGTGAAACGGGGTCATCAAGCGACACTGCAATTGACTTTTCGAACACCTTCAGAGTAAAACGTTTTGATCACTTTGTTGCCTAATTGATACATTTTTCCTCTCTGGGTGATAATGCACTTATTAACCTTTCGACTGTGACAACATCACACATCCCAAAAAAGAGGTTTGGAGGCCGTTTCATGTAGCTGGCTGAGTTTTCCTCTGCGGGAAAAGAGAAGGAGGGGACGCGGACGTCAAAAGAAGTGCAGCTTGGAACTCGTTTTTTGGATGGATAAACGCCGATAATTTAGAAATCTCTTTCTGAGCATGTGTTGCACTATAATGTTTTAACTGTCCGTAACATCGGTGTCTGCTTCTTCCCTTTTCCCGCTTCAATTCAACTGATCTGACACCAGTACGACATCGAACTCCATTCAAATGATCCCCCCCATCTGTCGACTGCTTTGTTACACCCGATTAAAGACGACTATCATGTTTGAATTATCATTTTAGAAAGATATTTTTTTCACGTCTAACAAAACATTCCACATGTTACTCGTTTAATTTGGCTTTTTATTTGAATGATTTTTTTATTTTAAACTTTAACACTACTCTTTTTTTTTTTTTTTTTGCCGTCTGCTCGTGCCAACTTTAACTCTTTGCATGGTTTGTGAGTCAGCATGCCTGCTTGTCTATGTAACAAAAATGTATTTGCACAATAGAAGAAGAACACTGGAGGACTTTAAGGAGAAAAAACAAAACAAAAAAACCTCCCGTGACAACTCCCAAGAGCACCAGGCACAGGGCGGCTTTCTTCCTCTCTGGTGTGAAAACAACTCAAGAAACTTTGTCCGATTGACTCCACTGGTAAATCATTTGATATTGTTCTTATTGAATATCGTTTCCAATGAGGGATTTTAACACAACATAGCACTTCCAACATGGACGGACTGTGTTCGAGAGAAACATGCTCTGCCAAACAAATTAAAAAGACTCTCCCAAAGAATGTTCCTCTTTCAAAGATCACCATTACGGAAGAGAAACGGCAGATATTGGTTCAGAAAAAGGTTTGGAAACAAGGGCATCGTCGTTTGATTGTCACACCCACCTCAACCAGTTCTATATCTATATATATATATATATATATATATATATATAATATATATATATATATATGTATATATATAACCACTGTGGCTCAAGAGCAATTCTTGGTTTACATGTAAATGGATAAAATTGTTATTTTTTTGTTTGTTTGTCTATTGATGAAAACTGTTATCTTTCTTTGGGACCTACGCTTTGGACATTTCATCTCTGACATCTATAAAATATATTTCTGAAAAATACAATGACCTGTAGTCGTGCGATTTCTTTTTGCGCACATAAAAGCTTTCCGAGTGTTAAAAATAAGAGTTTTTCACAAAATCAGTTCGAGTGCGAATAGTCAACAGTGCTGGTTGTAGCTGAATTCCTGAACTTTATTTAGAAAGACAGGACAGCTGCTTCAGCATTATCTCATCTGGGAAACCCTCGTTGTTTTTAGAGGATATCTCCCAATACAATCCTCCACTTTCTGACCTGAGCTTGCATCTGAAGTACATTTAGCCGCCCGGCACATGACAGCAGTGATGGTGGAAAGTATGTCACCACTGGAACCGAAGGGGGCTTCAACTCTCAGCTGACTGCTGCTCGCTGACTGGAACATCTAATTACAAGAGCCAATATCACAAGTGTTCAGAGCAGCAGCTATCAGGTGACATCCTCACAAACGTCACAATATGGTAACTCAAAAAACATGTTTAGTTCATGATTACAAAAGACTTCAAATTGTATTTTAAGAAGCTGGAAGTTGAGTTTGAGAAGAACAAATATTAAAAAATTACAAAGTATTGGTATTACATGTGCAGGATCACATACAAATAATGACAATAATACAACAAAATGCTTTCAGGATTGACTAAATCCACAAATAAACCAGTTTAAATCAAATGTATTGTGAATAATCTGAAAGATATTCAATAAACAATTCATTTGGATGATTTTTAACATCCTTAAGATTTTCAATAAAGCCACAAAGTGCTTTAAATAGAAGATAAAAAATAGTCTTAAAATTATAATACAAAAAATATAAACAAATCAGGAATATAAAATAAATGAAATATCAGGAATATAAAATAAATGAAGCTGGTAAAAAATAACACACCCACTTTTAAGTATATTTTTAAAAGGAGATTAAAATAGTTAAAACGCTTTGCTAATCTAACGAAAACAGGCATTTGTGTGTTTAGCACCGATAAACAATACACTCGTAATAAGAGTACATGTGTCAGTGGACTACCACACCGTCCAATGAGAGGAGGCCACTTCCCTCCACATGCTAATGCTGACCTGGACATTTCCTCTCACTCACTGATACCACGGCTGCAACATTAGCACGCTTAATTTCCCCCCATTTTCACAAACCCCTTAAGTGGGCGACCTGTCGTCTTTCTTTACTTATTCTTTTCTTAAACAAACAGCTTTTTCTTC